CCATTTTGTATGATGGATTGTCTTGCCTCTGAGTGTAAATTTAATTTTTTTTAATGATTATTATTGATATTGATATCAATATAGCCTGCAGTTGAAATCAGAATGCTCCTCCAGGAAGGTAAGACTGTATCTAAGGGTCCCCAGCAAGGGAAACCTCCAAGTGCTCCAAGTGAAAGAAGGACTCCGGATCCCTGGTCCCCAGCAAGGGAAACCAGCTATTACAGGCTCTGATGTGACTCCTCGCCTGTCAGAGACAAACACCCCACAATGTAACTGTCACTTGCAATTTCCGATTGAGTAAATGGTCCCAAAGGCAGATACACAGAAATGCCTGTAAAATGAGTAGCTGTTTAATTCCACGTTAGCCAGAGGAATAGCTAAATCCAGGGAAGGCACAATGGACAGTTAATGTCTCGGTCCCCAGAAAGGGAAACCAGTGAGAAATGGAGGCTGCTATAATTACTTTCTCGGTCCCCAGCAAGGGAAACAAACAAGAAATGGAGGCTGTGACGATTGGGCACGAAATTGAGGCAGCCGTTGGAAAGGGCAGGAAGCGGAATCACTGGTGTTAAGCCTGAGCCGTCTGGAGAGTCGCTGCTGCTGCTTCTCTAATTGCAATTTTAAACGCTACTGTCAAGAGAAAGCAGCAAAGCCAGGAAAGCCACGGCTGAGAGTGTTCAGATCCGATCACAGAGCCAACGATCGGAGAGGTAGATAAGGCTTTTTGCTGAGGTGAAAGCCTCAAGCTGCCTGTGTAGTGGTAGGCTCCGCTAATTTACGAGGGAAAGTGATCGGAATAGCAGATAAGGCTGTTTTGTGAGACGAAAGCCTCAAACTGCCTACGGAATGGCAGGCTCTGCTAATTTACGAGGGAATGGCAGATAAGGCTGTTTTGTGAGACGAAAGTCTCAAACTGCCTACGGAATGGCAGGCTCTGCTAATTTACGAGGGAAAGTGATCAGAATGGTAGATAAGGCTGTTTTGTGAGGCGAAAGCCTCAAGCTGCCT